GCTGCTTGGTGTTTGAGGGTCTGTCCCACTCACTCTGGATGGCAGGAAAACTCTGTATCTTCTGTAGGTTTCTGAGATGCAGTTTTCCCCTTGTTCTTTTACTCATTACCTCTTGCTGAGAAGCCTGTTTTCTCTGCTGGAGTCCAGAAAGTGGCAAATGGAAAAGAGCTAGGTTAATTTGGGTAACGCTATTTTCTTTCATCCTTGCAAAGAGCTAACAGGATGTCCAACCCAGGGCTGAAGAGCAGTTATGGCCCCCAAATTAATTCAGTGTATTTCACGTCTGTTAGCTTCTGAAGTCATGTGTTTCTAAATGATATTGCAGTAAGGAATCAGCAGTTATGAAAGTAGTATGTAGCATTCTGATCCTGTTAATAATGTCTTCACAATCAGAAATTTAGTTTTCCAAAGAAGCAAACGGTAACTAACACTAGAGAAAAGGGGAGAGGAGATGACAACAGATTTTAGTGCAGCATAAATGCATGCCTGTGATACAGCTTGTGCTGAAGAGCTAAGGTGAAAAGTGTTGTCTTATATGGAACAAATTGAGCAACAAATGTACGCTGTTGATGTGCTTTTCTTCCACTCAAATTAATTCAGTAGCATATATGAAAGCATGTTGGTCCATTTCTTTCTCTCAAAGAATATATCATTAATAAAAAGCCTAAGCATTTCTCTCACCTACATAATTTGTTCCATTTGCTTCTGCCAAAGTGAATGCTACAGTGAAGTCTGGGAAAAATTAGCAGAGCATTGAATGTAACTGTAGATTTAAAATGAGAAGTTGCTTGAGTTGAGCTCACAAACAATGCGTGGAATAAACCTGATGAGCTGCAGTGGAGTGTTTAGAAAAAGTGCTGTAGAGAAGTCAAAGGTGATTTAGTTGGGAACTTTCTAAGTGCAGAAACATGTGTCCTTTAAATTAATATTGTTCTTGTGCCATGGCAGCATCTTTGCTATAGAAGTTCCCAACTCCCTGGGGAGTTCAAGATGAGCGGGGGCAACTTGTCATCTGCCATGAAGTCACTGAACTCCTAATTGGAATGGAGAACACTCCTGAAGTTTCCTCTGTATACTATGTTATGCTGATCAGTACATTAAAAAGTCTTGGCCAATGAAGCTAACAATGGTAATTTAGGCAGGAACCAGACTGCAACTACAATCAGACCCACTTTTTTTTTTTTTTTTTTTCTCCCAGTTAGTATAAAGTTTTGTTATAAACTGACATATATGTACTGTTTGAATGTATTCCAGGGTCATCTGAGCTTAGATACTTTGCTTGGGCTGAAAAAGAAAATCAAAACAAACAACCAACCTTCCAAAAACAAAATAAAACTAACCCTAAATGAGATTTTTCTGAAAGTAAGGACAAGGAAAAATGCATAGTTTTGGCAGTATCGTCCTCTGGTCGTGTTTTCAGTGACAGCCTCTGAACCTTTTCTTTCAGGGAGGAGAGGACAGCTACTGCACACAAGTGTACTCCTTGCTGTCCTTGTTCTGGGCATGCTTAGAGTTCTGGTAGTTACCCTTCACACTAGCTTGATAGACGCTTGATCTTGCTTGCAGTCTAACTCTAACTACAAACTGTTTCATCAAGGTACTTGAATGTATAATAGTTAAGAGAGACTTGTGAGATTCTGTGGGAATTCTGACATTGGCAAACTTATGCTTTCAGAAGAAAATGAGTTGCTGGGTATTTGCTTATGTCAGCTGAAAGTTTTGGGTTGTTGGGCAGAACCCAAACCCATTTTCTTTTTTCTTTCTTTTTTCCTTAGGTCTATACATTTTGTTGAAGTGACAAAACAGAAAATACATACTACTCAGAAATCTCTTGACCAGCTTAGTTAAAAACAAATTGGGCTCATTCCTTTATTGCCATGCAAATATATGTGAAATACAGGAAGTCTAGGGAACATGAATATGTCAGTTCATTATGTAATAGCAGTGAGCTTAAGTTCAAAATCCTCCTGCAATAAACATCATTCTCTCTCCAAAGGAAAGGAAGGTTCTCAGAAGCAAACAAAACCTATTTTAATGAAATTAGGTTTCTGGACAAAGCTTTTCCACAATTATTAAGCAAGTAACGTTGTGATTAGGTCTCATTATGTTGAATGACTGTTTCTTGAGAAACTGTCTTCACGGACTATTAGTTGATGGCATATTGTTTTATTGAATCACTTATGTCCATTAGTGTTCTTTTAGAAGAAAAAGATTTAATTCTGTTGATCAGAAACTGAAAGAAGTAATTCAGGAACTTACTCTATTTTCATTTTTTTTCTGTACTTTCAATTTTCTTTTGCTATTTCTAGTCACCACTAACATGATACAAATATATGGTAATAAACCTGATAACGTTTAATGGATTTCTAGAGGTTCTCTGTACTCAACCTGGACAAGCATGAAGCAGATGTTTTTTTTTTTTTTTAAATGCAGCAGTGTTTTGCCCCTTAATATCTTTTTTTTTTTTTTTTTTTTTTTTCCCCCTAGAAATCCAGCTGTATATGCATTCCCACTGAATGAGAGCTTAAATTTCAGAAAAGTCATAGTACTGAAGTCTTCATCTGAAAGTACATCCTCTAACTCTAGAGTCCCTGTTAGAGACTTTGCTGTGGCTCATTTATTGTGCTTCTAATGTACTGGATACCATCCTCTTGGGCAGCAGAATTAATGTCTAGGATGGAAAGAGTAATAGAAGTCAGGAGTTGGAAGAGACCTTAAAAGATTATCTAATCCAGTGCCCCTGCCAGATCAGGAACACCTGGAATCAGGTATACCAGGTGGGCTTTGAATGTCTCCAGAGGAGGAGACCCCACAGCCTCTCCAGGCAGCCCATACCAGTGTTGTGTTACCCTTATTTTGAAGAAGTTTTTTCTCATATTTGTGTGGAACCTCCTGTGTTCCAGCTTGCACTCATTGCCCCTTGTCCTATCGGATCTCACTGAGAAAAGCCTGGCTTCAATCTCCTTACGCTCACCCTTTACATATTTATAAACATTAATGATGTCAAAAGATTTTAAATAAAACATCTTTAAGGAATGCTAGAGGTATACTGCAGATATTTTTTTCAATCATACTAACTTGCTGATTTTTGCATCCAGTATTCCTGGAGCAACCTTTGACAAATATTCACTCCACCTTATTTTCACCCACACTCCGTAAACTTAGTAGTTTTTAAAGCAATTAATAGGAAATATATGTAGAAAGCAATTCTAAAGGTATATGAAAAGCTCAGTTTTAATCAGCAAACAATAATTCATAGTGTAGGTCTTTTCATTTTGCATGTGAGAGATTAAATCCTCTAAGTTTCTAAAAAGAATTTTTCATTTCTTTTCGGTGCAGTTGCAAGAGAATTGAAAGTATAGGTAACATACCAGCATTGTATTTAAAACCAAAAGAAGTCAACAACAAAACCCTAAGTTTTCATTTGTTATGGAATTTCATATCATTTTTACCGTTTTGTAAATTTCAGCTCAAACCAGTTTTCTTTTATCCAAAAAGTCTTAAAAAAAAATGAACTTTGTGGTCAAGTTGATCATTATAGCTTTTCGAATTCTCCCTAGTTCAGGTAAAGCACCAAACCTTAAATTTCTTTTTTCATTAACAATGCTGTGACGTGAAATACAAACAAAGCAGAAGCAATTTGTGTTTGTGAATGTCTGTGCTTGAATGTAATATCTCTGGAAGAAGGTCACATTGGTAATGTTTCATTATGTCTTCCATTTGATTTTAATTATTCATGTTTCGTATTATTGTTGAATAAAGTAATCCATCTATACAATATAAAATTTTCCAGCCGATTGTCAAGTTTGAGGAGGAAACTTCAATGTGATGGTCTGCAACAAGATTAAGTTTCCACTGTCACTGCATTTTTATTTTTGATTTTTTTTTTTCTCACAGCAGCTTTTTTACTTTCCTTTTTCCATAAGGCATTTGCAGTTTGGCATTTAGAATTACGAGGGTTACTTGTCGGTGGAGATTATATCCAGTTTTATACCCTATTTCTATATTATTGTTGTAGATGCCTGTACCTTAAAAAGTATGCTTTGTAATCTTGGAGAAGTAGTTGGTGCAGCAATTGGGTGTAGTTGGGTTTCAGTCATTTGAAGAGATGGGTTAAATTTAATCTTTTGCATGTAAAGGCAGTTAAGCTGCCTCTTCACTGGTTTTGCTGATACCTGCAGTTATGGGACCAGAAGAATGTTCTAATCCCCAAATTCTCTGACAAAACACACTGAAACCGGAACTAAAAAATTGGTTTTAGCTGCTGAAAGGGGATTCCGTAGAAAACACTGGAGCTCTCAAAATTGCTTGCTTACGGAAACATGAGAGAAGGCTAACAAATAATTAATCGCAACTTCCCTGCCTCTGACAAGAGGGAGTTAGATATGAGAAAATAGAAAGCACCCATTTGACAGCTCCAGTCCTTTTAGAATCTTTTTTCTGTCTCTATCTTGCTGTAAGGAGGCTGCCAAGGATAACAGGTTTAAGAATTATCCCATCGTGAAGCGGTTATTTATTGTCATCTTTGTGCCTGCAATAGTAAATCATACTTGGCACCAGCAGAAGATGAGAAACTCAGTCCAAAGTCAATTAGCATGTTTTATGAGTACAAAATAAACTTCAGAGTTAATGGTAGTTGCCCATGGTTGTTAAGAGCCTGATTGTCATCTGTGCTGAATGTCTGCACTTTCAACTGAACATAACGGGGCCTGGGGCACTTAATGGCTTTGTGAAAAACACGAGGAGAGAGCAGCTTGGAGGTCTCCATGCACTCACTCCCTGTCTGCCTGAGTACAGGACAAAAGTATTCACCTCACTCTAGGAGGGCATGGGAGCAGCCCACGTGGTCCCTTTGTCTTTACTGAGAAGCAAGAATATTTGCCTCTATTTTCCTTCCCTAATCTGATTTCTTTAACAATGTGATATTTCAAGTTGTAGGTTAAATAGTAAACAGTTAGTAATGGTATACTTATTACGGCTTTTTATTTTTTTCTTTGTAGTGTAAAACTCTCTCTGGCGTCTGTGACCACATCATCTCACTCTCTTCTGATCCCCTGGTTTCCCAGTCGGCCCACCTTGAAGTGATCCAGCTTACAAACATCAAGCCAAGTGAAGGGCTGGTAAGAAGTACGCAGTTAATCAAACACATCATCCATGATAAGAGAGTAACAAATAACAAAACAATTTGTATATATGGAAATGAATAGGACTTTTTAGACTTTTTTTTTCAAGTCTGAAAATAGTTTGATTTCTCATGCAGCTGGGCCAGTAGGGAAGCGTTTTGTATGGCTGAACAATGTATGTGAAAATTTAGTGAACAAGAAGAAATGAATGAGGAGTTCTTGTCATTTATACCAGCTTCTAAGAAATGGTTCAGATTGTTCTAGCATCTTTAAGTCTGAAGGGATTTAAATTACTAAGATCAACTCAACCAAGAAGTTTGTGTGGGCTTATGCACAAAAACTGTCAAATTCTGGAATATGCCTCATAGTATCGCAGGGATATAAAGCTGTTTTGTAAGTTATCCAGAGGCTGTGCAGCACTGCTGAGAAGTAGCTTATTGAATTTTATAGCAAGAACTCTGCACGCTTAATCAGGTGGTTGTAAAGGCTCAGTGCAGCCAGCCTGTGTTTGCTGCTCAAGAGTTGACTTATATCTTTTGTTTGTGGTATCCAACACTCATTGCATGAAGAACACAATAGATAACAGTTACAGCTGTACAGCTGTGTATCACTACTAATATATCTTTCCACAATCCTTGGCGAAAGCAGTTGATTAAAGTACAGTTAACCATTTTCTGCCTAATGAAATAACTTTTGCAGCTTAATCCCAAGTTTATTCTCAGTCCATTTACTTAAATAAGAGAAATCACTGCTGTGCTCTTCTCAGCAGTAGGTTTCTAAGTTGTTGTTTGGATGGTGTAGTTTTAGAGTATTCTAGCTTGTGGGTTTGTTGTATTAAAGATCGGAGTTTTTTCTTTTTTTTTTTCCTTTTTTTTTTAAATTTTTTTCCAAATTTGGTATGCCAAAGTATTTAGATTAATTATACACTAAGCTAATTTTCCCCTCTTCTGGTAAACTACGATTACAGTATAAGTAAAAAAGCACTTCTGGATACGTACGTATTGCCTCATACTGTTTTTCTGGTCTACTATTTGTTTTCTCCTCCACCACTGGCTTTCTTTTCCTTTCTGAATGCATTTCAGACTGTTCCTCCAGGATTTCAGCTTTCCATGGACTCTCTTTTCTCCTGTAATTTTCTCACTCTTCTGCCAGCTCGCTGCAGTCAGCCTTTCTAGATCTTCTGCTGTAATGAGGAAATGTTTTTTTTCTTTCTCTCAGCCACCTCTTTTGGAGTTCTGTCCAATTTTATCTTAGCTTTTCCTTATTTCTTTACTGTTCTGCCTTGTGACTATGTTGTTGTTTGTTTGTTTTTACTTATTTAAGCCTTTCTGTAGGGTAGTGATATCCCCAGTTACTGAAAAATGATAAGACCAATACTTTATATAAACAAGAACAAGGGTCTGTTCCTGCTTGCCAGATGATGAGATAGATAACCTCTTGCCCCTCTGTTTTCTACCCTCTGTCTGTCTTGTCTGGTACCATTTTTAGTTTTTTTTAGTAAATGTCTGCGAACAAATTGAACAGAGTCTTGATGCTGACCACGTCATTGTCGTTTAAAAAATAATTGTATGTATTAAAAAAATTGAGAAGTACCTATTATGCTGCATACAGGCTTTAGAAGGACACAAACCTGCTTCCACAGAGTGCACTTCTTTCCCCTTTATGCTTCCCCATGTGCGACTATTCTCTTGCCCTGTATTGTACTGGCTTCTTTAGACTGTGAGCTCTCCAGAGCAGGAATCAAGAACTACATATTTTGCACCAAAAAGCACATATTGTACCTATCTGTTTGTTACAGTCTTACTAACATATCATCTTGGGGCTTTGTACAAAAGCTTTGTTTCTAGGCTACTGATATTTTATTTAGTCATTTCACTAATATCTTTCAGTTAAGATAGAGCGCTCTTTGTATCATTTTAAGAAGTAAAGGTGGAGTGTGGAGTTTTAATAGTGCTTGTACATCACAAGCAGGGTGAATGTGACCTTCTGGACCTTCTTCCAGGATTCATGAAATGTTGGAGATGGAAAATGGATTATTGTCAACAGTGTTCTACATTTTGGACCCACATGACAGTTTTATGTTGGCCTTACTGCTCACTAAATAAAGTCTTCTATAAAGCTGAAAAGACTTCAAGGAGAAAGCAAAAGGGCATGGATGACTGTTGACTTGGAAGATGCTTCGTCATCTAGCATAAGTGGCATGTTTAAAATATCTTGAATTTAATATCTAAGAAGAGAAAACAGATCAGGGAATGAAAAAGAAGAAAAATAAATGTGAAATTTGGAAAACAATGCTATTTCCCTAAAATAATATGGCAAATATAAGGTGGAATAGAGAAAATGGTTGGACCTTTTACAACATTAAAGAAATAGCAACACCATCAGTGTGTTTTAATCAACATGCAGTTCTTTTACTATATTTGAACTGTTTCTGTGGAAATCATCCAATTATCAGAAGGAAGAGGTAAATTTGCTACATACAATGTCTTATTATAATTATAAAATGGTTATCAGGAAATGAACTAAATAGTCTGGGAAGGATGTTCCTTGGATGTGATATGGAGAAATTCTGGTGTACTGGGTAAAGCTTGTATGAAACATGGGTGAGTTTTGGTGTTGCTCTTTATCTTTTTTTTTTCTCCTTTCTTTATCCCTAGTCTTCCCACGTGAATGACTGCATATGTGTTCACAAATGGGTGTTACTGCAGAAAGAGATGCATCCTACAGTGATTGTGAAGTAAGAGTGAAAGGGGATCTGTCAGAGTATAAAATTCTTCTAAAAATTGTTACATCTGTATCACGAAGTAGAATCCAGTTTTGTGTATTTTTCCCATATTGATTCTATCTAAGCTAGCCAGTCTTATTTCTATAATATCATTTGCCAGGAAACAGACTTAAAAATATTAGTTTAACTAAAAACAAGTTTGTTTAGCAAAGAAACAGAATACTACACAACTACTTCTAGACAAAAGGCAAGTTATAAATAGCACTTTTCTTGGGGAGGTTTTTCTTCAACAGTGCCTTTTCTTTCACTTTTTTTTTTTTTTAATACAGAACAATACTGGAGAACTGTGGCACAAATTAGGCAGAAAATCAAATACAAACAGGAGAAACTAAAACTAGTCAGTTAATGGATGTGATAACAAACCTAATGAGTTCTGTGATATGACTTCAAGTTTAAGCAATTCACCTAATTTGCTAGATTCAGAAATGCAAAGGTGAATATACCTGAATATTAGACTGGTTGTTCTTGTTTCCCCTTTGCTTGCTAAAGCAAACACAAAATGGGCCTGCTATGAGAAAATGCACTCATGAAATAGAAGTTATGTGTAGGGAAGAGCAGCTGGTTAAAACTGCGTTGGTGGGTGTCCAGTTGGGAAGTATTTTTCAGGCATCTAGTGTACTACCAGTTCCTGATACTTTTCCTCTTATTTGTCTTGAAATGTTGGAGTAGATGGGGGGGAGAGGGAAGGGGAAGCTATGAATAGGGTTTTGAGAACTGCTGGGACTTTGGTCTTTACTAATCATACTTAAGCTCTAGGGCTGAGCTAAGATACTCAGGTTTACTTTGAGCTGTGTGTTTACTTTTGCACTTTTGGAGCACGTTCATGGCTAAAGAGGCTAATGCAGTTCAGGGGACTGCATTAAGATGTAATCGTGGAGAAAGTAACAACTCAGTTACATACATGAAAAATGGAATTTAAATCTTCTTGTGTTTTCCATCCAGTATTGAGTAAATTGAGTTAAATGTAAAGCAAGTTCTTTAAAAAAAAAAAAAAGTCATTGTTTTTTGAAGCCTTAACTAAAAAATAGTTTATACTAAGATAAAATGTATTAAGTGGTTTGAAATTGGATTTCTGCCTATAACTGATCATAACAATCTGTGATGTAATGAAGCACAAGTTACCTGATCTTTAATCAAGGAATTTGTTTGTTCTTGTTTATTCCCAGGATGGTTTCTGTAGTTATCTTAGCCATATAAAATGCATTACTTTTTCTTTTGTAAGAATCCCTCAGATTAAAGAAGTTCTTAGGATCTTTGGCATTGTCTTTGAATATAGAAGCTGTGTATCTGCCAATTTGTTTTAGTGGAAAGAATGGTACACACTGATCATTAAGAGTCTTGTTGATACTGTGCAGCCACAAGGAGGCAGGGAGGAAAAACTAAACGTTTTGGTATTCTTTCATTTCAGAGGAAACGTGTCCTATCTCTTTTCTGTACCGTTTCTGATGCATGATTCACTAAAAGCAAGCAGTGGGGTGCGTGTGTGGAGGGGTAGCTCATCTTCCATTGCATTTCTTTTGGAAATGGCAAAATGTTACTTCTCCCCATTTAAAAGCTGTTTTGTAAACAGACTGGTATTTGTTCTTTCAAATAATGTGGCATAGTATCAGTGTAACATTTCTTCTTAACTTTGCATGTGCAGAATTTATTACAGCTTCTCTTCTGATGTGCAGTGTCTTGATTTTAGCCTTTAAAGAAAAAAATTCAAAAATCTTTACTCTCTTTTGCTTCTTGAAGTTCTTTTAGATTTCTAGGAAAGATTAGATTGGATACAATGTTCGCTACTCCACAATAGCATACTTAGAAGATTTTACCATCCTTCAGAATAATGCATGAAATTGAACATGAAGTTAATATTAAGTGTGAAACTTTATCCTATGCTTTCATTTTGATATTTAACTTGAAAGCAGTAACTTATTGTTGGCATAAACAAAACTGTGACTTCCTTCAGATATTGCTCTGCGTGAACCTGACACATAATTCCTGCCAGCACTGTGGTTTCAACTCTTGCCGTGTTGCATGGTGTCTGGTCAGGTCACTTAGATCGCAATCTTAAGAGTGATGTTATGCTGTTTTTTGTTTTGTTTGGGGTAGGGATTAGAAACAACAACAACAACAAAAAAAAAAAAAAAAAAAAACAAAACAAAACAAAAAAAAAATCCCAACAAACAAACCCAAAAAACCCCCACACCTCAAAAACAACGTATCTACTATGTGACTCATTACTCTGTCTTTAAAATGTGTGTATATTAGTGTTTCCCTACCTCACAGGGGTGTTGTGAGGGTAACTGTATAAGAAATGTCTGTACTGTATTTGATATGACTGAGGAAACCACGTGCATGGAGACAATCAATGGAATGTTATTTAAGGTGGATAGAGGAGGTAGAAGGTGAAGAATAATGTTAGGGGGCTCTTACCTGCCTCAGAGAACAGATCCTTCCTTTGTGCTCTTCCAGCTGTGGCAGCCCAATATGACAACAAGATTTCATGCTCTTATTGTCGCACAGAATCATAAAGGTTGGAAAAGGTCTCTAAGATCATCTGGTCCAACCATCTACCTGCTACCAATGCTACTCACTGAATTGTATTTTTTTAGTACTTCATCTACGTTTGTTGAACACCTCCAGGGATAGTGACTAACCACCTCCCTGGGCAGCCTATTCCAGTGCTTTACCACTCTTTCAGGGATGAAGTTTTTTCTAACATTGTGCCAAGCAAAATAAAAGTTAATTTTGAGCGTTGCCTCCTAAGAAACGCATATATATATATATATATATATATATATTTTTTTTTCTGGTTCTAATGTCACCACCTTAAGTAGGGAATACTTCCTCTTTTCCACTATCAATGTTTGTGAATTCTGGTCCCAAATTAGATTAGCTAAAATGGATAAGTCATCTTCACTCTTTACCATTTATCACTGGTATATGCACCCTGTTCATCAACTAGAAACAGGTTTCTTTGTAGCGCTCTGCTTAAGAGGAGAAAGAGATGATGATGGAGATAACATTTGCTTGAGTGCTCAGTATTTACTTGCTTCCTCTGAAGTAGTTAAGGAAAGAGAACTTCCTCAGAAATTGATAAACATGTGGTGTATGTCGATTCTCTCCTTTTTCCTTTTTTTGAATTATTTTGGAGATTGCTATTAAAATGTTCCAATTTTAACTTGATGAAAAAACAGATTTGAGGTTCTATCCCAAAGTACCCATGTAGGAACTTGTCACTGTCCATAAGCTATCCCTTTGCTTCCATAGTTTATGGAAGAAGTTGATAATAAAATAAAGTTGATGTTTAAGTTGTCATTATTCAGTTTTATAGCTGAACTGCCACTGAGATGAGTAAAGACAGTCAGCAAGTCTTAGATTCATTTTGCCAGCATGCTTCACAGCATTGGTTATCGGTTTGAAAGGTATGTTTGTGTGGACTGGACTCTAGTCTTCTGTGGCTTCCAAAGCAAAAGAAAGCTGTGAAGTATTTATGGACGTGACTGTAGTAATTTTTAGGCTACTCTTGCTAATTAGGGCTGGAATCATTTGGGCTGTTGTTCTCTATGTGTGTCAGAGAGACCCGTCCTGCCCAAATACTGGTTCCTTGTGACCTGTACTAAAAGTCCACCAAATCTGGGGGAAAAAAAGGCTTTTCTTTTAGAGATATGCAAGTTATGTTTGGATGGTGATCATTTGTGAAACACTTTAAAAATTCTTTCCCATAATGTCTTTTTCTTAGGGTATGTACATTAAGTCAACATATGATGGTCTCCATGTAATTACTGGAACAACAGAAAATGTAAGTATTGTTAATACTGTACGTACAGGCCTGGAAGCCTTTTTGACATTACTTGTGGTTTATGCTTTCCCTTTGCTGTAGACTACATTTTGCTTGTGAAAGTGTGCTAGTTGGCTGATGAGGACCAGTAGCATGTTGGGCAGCAGAAATGCTTTTGCTTGTTTATCTCAGAATTGAAACAGTAGTTCTCAGCTGAGAACCAGGAGAATCAGTCTTGATTTGCTCTTGTAAGACACCTAAAATGATTCAGTTGATTGAAATAAGAGGTGGTTACCTTGGAGTTCTTGCTCTGTGGAAAAAAAGGTAAATCTTTGTTATATGTAGATCGAAATGCTGGAGTTTGCTGCAGTATTAGAAAAACAGCTTTTATATTTTCCATATGTCAAGCTTTGTTTTGTAATAAATAAGTGCATGGAAGTGAAGATGTGCCTCCATATTGACAAATAAACACGTTTCTGCATGAACTGAGCAATGCCTATTGAAAGGAGCACTTATTACTGGTGTACTAATTCTCACTGAAAGTATTAAACAGCAAGCATAACGCAATAGACCAATTTTCAGCTGCTGAAATATGCCTTTTTGTCCACCACGTATAGGGTAATAGCATGCTGTTAAGAAATGAGCAAGGTGATCATTATAAACTTCAATAAACACAGAACAACCTACTAAACAATACTGAACTGTTTCAAATTTTTTTCAAAATTTTTCTTCTTTGTGAAGATTTTGATGGCACTTTCTTAAAGCTGTCAGAAATGTTTTATTCTGTTACCGTGTCATATTGTGAAACTACCTGCACACTATTTGCAGCTGTTACATCTGATCTTCAGTGAGGCTCTGTTAAAATCTGAATAAAATGGGATTGCTGTTTTATCCCTTCATAGAAATTGCCATCTGATAGGCTCTCTCTTTTTTTTTTTTTTTCCTTTTGATATGGGCAGGATATCCATGTTTTATCCAGCAAATGATATCTGTTGTAGAACTTCTCATGATGCTGCCCAAGAATAAGGAAGGTACATGGAAATTTACCCTTGAAATAAAAATTGTAGGTACTTATACCTGAAACTCCAAATACCATCAGTAAAATTAGCAAAGCTAAAAAACAGCATAAGCATAGTTGAGCCAACTCTAGAAAGCGTAAGAGAGTATGCTTTTTACAGCTGGATATCTGATTATACAAGGAACCATTTCTCTCTAAGTCGCTAATGGTGGTTTTAATTTCCCAGGGGCGATGATAAAAATAATCTTAATGCATTCCCTCAAAACATTTATCTTTTGTGATTCATGAATGTAATTTAGAACCATGTCAGGAAGCTTCAGTTATGATGGCTTTTCTGCTTTTGTTACTGATGCTCATTCATTGTAACAGCCCTAAGGTTCTCATAGCAAACCAAGAAACTGCAGTCTGCTATCTAGGGAAAAGCTTGTTGTGTGTTAAAATGTTAGTGAAAATGAGTTGTGCCTTAGAGAAAGTAAAGTGTGTGTGTTCTTTTAAACACACAGTTGCTAGCCACTTTATTTAATGAAGAAGTAACATGATTCTGATAGATGTGAGGAGAAACATCTAAGCATCATGGTCAGCGTAAGGTGGTGATGATGCAGATTCAATCTGATTCATTGATGCTGCCCCATTTACCATTTTTGGTGCAGTTGAAGTTCTAGGAAAACTCTAGTGCAAATCTCTTCCTTCTGAACAAAAGTTTACAGCCTTTATCTTTCCAATTCTGCTCATTGTAGTAAGACATTGGCACAACTTTTTATCTGACATGTTCCTGACAGATCTCAGGGAAACACTTGTCTTTTTAATAAACACAGTAGTATGGCAATACTAGCTGTCTAATCTAACATAGCATTTTAATCCACAGTTCTGCTTTCTCTATTTGCAATTTGAAGTTTTCGATGTTCAGCTACAAAACTGAATTTGCATCTTGCCATTCAGCATTAGGAGCCATCTTTCCCAACACATCAGTTCTACAGTTGAGATTAGTGGAGCTCTCAGTCTTGAAGTATGAGAGACCAAATTTTCTTACAGGTCACTGCCCTGGAAGAGCTTCTGTCTAGTGATCCTGTAGCATTAGAGCAATTTTCTGGTTTGTGTCTTCCCACTCTTGTTTGAAAATAACAATTCTAAAGGATGCATTATTCCAACAAGAGATTACAGCTTTCATACTGAGTAGCCTGTCTAGACCAAATTAGAGACAGTCTTTTAAATGACAAAACAAATGTATCCTCCAAATAAAATCATTTGGTAATTTGTTTTTCTAATAGAAAATAATGCTTTCTAAGAAACGTCATGGGCTACATCTACAGCAGGATTGTAACTTGAAAGGATGTGATCCAGTGTTCTCATGCATGCATGGTCCACTGGTTGGGTTTGCAGGGTATACTCAGAGAAGACAGGCCTTTCAAGAGAAATAATGGGAGCAGGGTTGTATGAGTTGGTCTTTCAGACAGTTTTGGTGTACTGGGGGAATGGGACAAAGACAACATTTAACCTAAAGATCAAAACTAAATGCATTTTGAAGAATAAATTTGATTTCGATTAGCTTATATGATACGAATGGATAAGCATCAGCAACAGGTACTTCCATCTGTTCAAGTCCCTGTTAAACTAAATTATTAGCTAACGATGTCATGTGACACAGTATTTCTCCCTTTAGAGCTTCACAAATTGATGCTTTGCTTAAAGATCAGAAAATCATAATAAAAAAAAGTTAATCGATGCTCTTCTATTTTCCTTAAATAATGATAAAAGATTTTATTTCTTAACTTGTGTATTCTTGTCAAAAAAGTATTAAGAAATTGAAACTTGTTCATAAAACAACAGCCTTGAGACTCCAGTATAAATGATTTCACTGTCATGTTGAATTGTATTCCAAGCATAATTGCAATCATTTATTTGTTTTCTTTACAGTAGACTTTTCCAGTCTGAAGATTCCCCTTTATTTTACTGTCTCAGCAAACTGCTGCACAAGAAATACCAGTTTTGTCGAGATTTAAGCTGCAAATGCTGAAGTCAGTACAGGAGAAAGATGATATTGTAATAAAATCCCATTATGTTCAAGGGTAGCGACACAGGATTCTCTAGCATAGACATTTTGAAATTCTTAGGTGTAAAAATATTGGATCTAAAATAGTGATATTACGCAGCAGGACTGTAAAGATTGTTAGCAGAGTGAATGAGCAGGTGTGAGTGGTGAAGCATCAGACAGAAGGTAGATTCTTGGTACACAGTTGTTAGTGCTAAAATTTTTCCCCCAGGAAATAGTGCTGATCAGCCAAGGCAGCTTTTCTTTATGTAAATAAAATTACACTTCTACCAGCCTATCTTGACTTAGGATGTTGTAAACAATGCCTCCTAGAACTGTGTTGTGAGTGACATATCTTTTAGACACATATTTCTCTTGGGTTTCTCAGTTTCTTTTAAACACCATTCTTAATTCAAGCCATGATGCACGTGAGATTGCATTAGAAAGTCATAGCACAGCTATGGAACACGTATTTTGAACATGGAATGTAGTACACAGGTTATCACAAACAATCCACTTAGCAGCCTTGGTGCATGTTATCAAGACTATGTGTTATCTTACCTGAAAATTAATTTCATTTTCTTTATTCCTTTAGAATTCATAGCAGGTATTTGAAAATCTGCTCCTGAACAACATGTTGTTTTTGGGTCTTTTTTTAGATTGTCAATTTCAACTTCTGCCTTTCAGTTGATTAAGTGACTTTATAGGCTGGAGGCTACAGTATTGAGAGAAAGATAGAATTGTCACTCTACGAAAAGCTTAAGGAAGTTATTTTCCTTCAAACATAAGGGTTTTTTGTGTGTGTTTTTGGTGTTTTTTTTCTTGCCTCAGAAAACAGCTGATCTACTGTAAATATAGGTAGTAGAAGAGGATAAAGGTTCTTCTGTTGATTGGTTTTCTTTTTGTTGCGTGTTTTGTGGGGTGTTTTTTTGTTGTTTTTGGGTTGTGGTTGTTGGGTTTGTTTTTTTTTGTTTTTTTTTTTTTTTTTTTTAAGGCAAAAGCAAAGAAAAAAGCTACTTTGCTTCTTGAAAGTGTTATCTTAGGATTGTATTGCTTTTTTCAGTACTTCAGTACTTTCACCATAATAATGACCAAGACACTAAGTTACCGTGTAAGTTACGTGATCTTCCTGCCTAGTAGCTGGCCTAAACTTCTTTTCTTTGTCTGTTCTTCTAAGAGCAGTGATTTACTGAAGTTCTTTTGAATCTATTGAAATATTTAAAAGTAACTCAAAAGGCAATGTTGGGAAATTTTTTCATGAAGCAATTTCAAATTCGCCTTGATAGGTTCTTAACTATCTGTTAAGACCTGAGAGATATCAGGTGGCTTTGAGTGGAATGAAATGATAACGAAATTTTTAAGACTTGATTATCCTTTAATAATATATGTACATAGCTTCCTTAACAGTTGATTGTATTGTGTACAGTAGCACATATTATTTTTCACCAACAACAATGAATTGATTTATTAAACGTTTCTTTAATTGTTCGTTTCACAGTGGAATGTAATTATCAATCTAACCTGATCTACATACCTTAGCAATCATACTGCTGAAAGAGAGATGATGACCAGTAAGGACTGTATTCTTTATCATCTCTTTTATTTTAAATTCAGTCACCTGCAGATCGGTGCAAGAAAATCCATGCTGGAGATGAAGTGATTCAAGTTAACCACCAAACTGTGGTATGTATAATTATGTTCTGTGTCAATTGCAGATAGAGGTGTCATGGCCCATCAGTATATGTATGGAAGGAATGTGTAGAAAAATGTGTTTTTATAAATCTTTGCTTATTTTAACATCTTTTCTCTTCTGATAATGCATAATTCTCAAGTTCTTAACTTAAGACCTAATCATCTGAGTATCACTGGAGTTATCGTGAAGTCAGACTAGATAATGGAAACTTAGGAGGTATGGTAGGGTTTTCTGCTTATCTATGTTCTGTTAATTAACAGTTAGTTTTCGTGTGATAGAAGGTCTGGTTTGAAGGCATGCAGGAAAGATGAAACTATTATGACCTTGTGTATCTGCGGTCAAAGGTAACTCATAGAAGCTGAAAAGCTTTTATTTTTCTGAATCTGCTGGGATATATAGAAAGTGGCTTTCAAGAACAACAACAGTTTAAATTCCTACATTGTGCCAAGGGTGTTTAACTTAACATGAATACAACTTTTCAGACGTGAAAAGATGAGACAAATATCTGGGATATGATATGCAGATGTAACTAATACCAGGCAAATTGATTTCTCTGTGAACAGATGTATGTTCACAGATGTTCACGGATGTATGATGACTTCAAGACTGGTGAACTGTTTAACTAGCTAAGAAAAGAGCAGATTGTCAGTATAGAAAGCAGCTATTCTTTGTCTCAAGTATAAGCTTTTTTAAAGATTTATGAGTCAGTTTAGGGTATTAACTACGTATGTCCTTGCAAACAATTTAAATGATAGAAAATGATCCTAGATTTCCATTATTAATACAGCAAGCATTTGTTAAAAGTGTGTTTCATCATTCCCCATAGGGTTCCTCTTATAGCTTTAGGCCACTGTACATCATATCAGCTCTTCTGCACAAATTAGTAAAATATTTCAGCATATCCTCCAGCTAAATTTGATATCAAATATACTGTGCGTGTGCGTAACTTAACTGATGAGAAGCTATCTTTTGAACTAGGCAATATAAATTGATAAATCATACCAGATCTGGGTGAATTTTAGTATTTTCCCCCAAGATCATTTCTTCATAAGTGTTGTATGCCATGATTACTTATGTTTATTGTTGATCACTAATTTCTTTCTTTCTGCATAAAGAAAGCTTATTAAATGCCAATTTATATGAAAAATGTTATGAAATACTGTTACACTCTTCATTTCTTACACCATTTTTGATGGTGCTATACCATAGAGAGTTTGCTTATCAATTTGGAAATTTTCAGTCAACCAGGTATTAATTCTAGTTTTCTTGACATATCTATACTGCATTTATTTGATGAAGTGATCAGATTTATACTCCTAAAACAATTAATAAAAACACTATGGCAGGGCTTAAGATGAGCTTTCTTTCATACCTGGATATAATTCTGAGTGTAGGATTTAGGTATTTTGGCTTTTGCATCAGTGAAACTATATTTTGAGAGGTGCAGGAAAGAAAAAGTAAAGTTGATTTTAATTCTAGGAAAGAGGAACATAGGGAGCTTAGAGAAGCTCTTAAGAGGTAACATTTGATGTAAAAGTTATGTATAGAAATAGGCTATATCATACATTTGCATATTTTCCTTCTTCATTTTATCAAAAAATAATTGGCAACTTTGATACTATATACAGGTAACATCCTTGTGTTTTACTGTTGACTTTCCACAGTAAAACTTAATAACACCTTCTGTATTACCTTTACAAAGGTATACTACATTCATCCAATTTCTGGAGCCAAAGTATTCAATATTTTCTACAAGTATTGACTTTTTAAAAATCTATTTTGGGGGGTTTTATTTCTTTTGACAAAAGTTTTAATCAGTTGTTTTGTACACTATCATGAGGAATTTAACTTACAGTTCTAGGAATCTGTTTTTGTGAGAAGTATTCTCGCTTATAGTGATTCTTGCTTTGGAATTGAAGAATTCTGAAGATGTTTCCTTATAACTTTTCTGTTTATTGAATTATTTGTTTCAAATTACATATACTGCTCAGTAGTTGCAATCATAAGCAGTTGCTTCTTGTATGTATCATTTCAGTATTACACAAGTTGCAGAAATAACTGCGGGTAGGTCTTGTAAAGTATTGTTCACCTGTAAGTGTTCTTAGGATAATGTCTTGTAATTGGAGAATCAAGCTTCAGAAAGAAAAGGAAGGAAACTTCAAAAAATTATTTTAAAGTTCTCTTCTTCCATATTTTCTTCTGACATTTCAATGTATGCTATCAAAATTAATACCCAACTTTCAGTACTGTGTGTTTCAAAGTATTAGTATACATATGAGGAGATCCATGTAATTATTTCAGAAATTCAACCTGGTAACTAACACTTTTTACCAGGTTTACATTTTAATCATGAGAATTCTGAAATTAGGCAAATAGTTTAAGTTGACTTAAATTATTATTTTTTTTTAGTACAAGCATCCTAATACTGGATGTCAACTAATTGTAAGTTCTCTACTGACATCCTCTCTTTGCTTGCTGCAGTAGTGCTTTATTTTCATCGTGTTTCATCTGGCAGTGAAATCAAAGGATTTCACATGATTACCCAAGTCTTTTGCTGTGTTGTAAGAAAATATGTGAAACAGGATTTATTCCACTTTTACTGGCAGGAAGCTTGGAATGTAAATATTTTTTGAATTTTTAAAACAAAGAAATAATAAAACTAGGCCTAAAGTCAATTAAAAGTTAATATTCAGAAAAATGTCCCTTTTAACCTGTGTTTTATTGATGTTAGATAGCTGAATCTTCTGTCAGTTTTGTCTTGCAGGTTAGAGTGTTTTATGTAGCTCTGTAACTAAAGGCATAGCTCTTCCATTAGAATTCAAAGAACTGCATTCTCTTAAACTTTTATGTAAATTCCATTTTTAATCTCCTTTAAAAGCCTGGCTTTCTAAAACAGTTCCAAGGCAAACTAAAAGGAGTTATTGAGGCAGTTCAGAATTTTCACTGTACTTCAGTGCTTGCATTACTTCCTATATATAATTCAAGAGTGTATTTTGCCTCAAGATAATCTTCCATTTAGTCAACTGAACGTGCAGAAACATGAGTTATTACTGTTTGCAGTATTCTTTCTGATTGCATAAGTGATCAGTCTGAGCAGAAACTATTGAAAGCAGAAACCATTAGGTGTATACACTGAGAAGCAGGATTCCTGAATGACAGGCTGTTGTTGTGTCATCTCCTATGAATAGTTTTTATGTTTAGGAGAAGATTTTTGCATGTTATTTATACCTTAAAGCAACTGTGATATGGCACGGATTTCATACAATTATGGTATGGCACGATAGATGTGGATTTCTTCACTTGCTGTTAATTAGCTAAAACTCATCAGAATGTATGTAAATAAAGATGATGGGAAAAACATTGTTCAGTTTGGCAAAATAGGCAAATACGAGGAATTATTGACTTGTTTCATGTAGAAGCTACTGTGTTTTATGTGTAGGTTTTTTGGACTCATGTAAGTAACACCTAGCTTTTCTATGGTGTGTTCTTTAATGTAGGAACTCCTTTGGACTCTCGGGAACTGAGCCAGGGCAGAAGGAGTTGGTTGCTGAAATTATTTTTGCGTTTACAGTTCAAAAAATTTGAGATGTTACTAAAATTCATCTGAAACATTATGGATGTATTTACAAGACTGAATCTTGCATTTCTGTAAAGCAAAGCATATAGGAATAGTATGAAATCTTTCCAGATATTGTCCTAACTTTATTCTTGCATAGAAAAAGAAAGGAACAGGTTTTTAAGTTTCAGTGAGCAATGAGCAGTTCAACCTCCACAGACTCAGGTTTTCTGGGGAGCTAGCAAATTCCAGCTGATAGGAAATACTAAACTTGAGGCATATATGAAACTCTGGTCTGTATGCACATAAAATCAATTTTGGAGTAGATACCATTTCATTTGGAGAAAAAAAAACTATCTTAGAATTTTACAAAAATGTTTCAGATGTTTGCTACTTATTCAGTTTTTCCGCATTGTTTTGCAGTTCTTCGGGTTTTTTTGTTTTTTTCAGATCTGGGCTTGGTTTTTCTGAATACAGGTATTTCCTGTAAGACCTTGTTAGTTTGGCTATGAAGGAAACAATATGTCTAATGAGTCTATGAGGAAAAGTGATCTAGAAAATGCAAGGAAGGGGACAGCAGAGGAGATAGCCAAGATTTTGATGTCAAGTGTTTGAAACCTCACAAAATAGCTTCTGCTAACATCTTTCATTTAAACTAATTTTTTTTTCCTTTATGATGCTTGACTTGAATAATGAAACAATGCAGCAAAATCATAAATGTTCAAAAGAAATTCGCCTTTTCCTCAACTTCCTTCTATAGCTCTTATGCATGTGCTTTTATGGATGATGAGATAAAATGCTATCTCCTGGATCATATTGTAATGCTTTCCAAATCCTTGGACTTCCTCTGTTTATGATGATTTCATAAATGTAAACAGGAAAATTTGATAAGTGGGATTTAGAGCAAAAAGCTTTTTAGGTATACTCAGATATGATAATGGAAGTCTTTCTTAAAATAATCTGGTTCTCTGCAAGGCACTGTTTTGAACTCTTTGTAGTTTGTCAGGGTATGAGGACCGTGCTGTGATTTTTGGCAACTGTAGTCTGTCCTCCAAATTCCCTCTCAATTTTTCAGTTCAGTTCTTTATTCTTACTTCATCCCTGTTGCACAGTACTGATAAAGGAACTGAATTGTTGTGATCCTTTCAGAATGAAACATGTTGGAATCCATGTTGAGATCATGTGATGTTATTCATGATCTCTTTTTTACACAATGATTTTTTGTGTGTTTTTTTTTTTTACATAGATGTGCAAGGACTGACATAAATGCATTATTTTATACCGCAAATGTTAGCAGTGTGATATTGCAGAAATTGAATGTGTAGGGGAAGGTTATTTTATTTTTCCATGATGAGTGCAAATCAAGCATTTTTATATTAGTATAAATGAGAGAATGAGAGACAAATTTGACAAATGCAGGTGAATTATGTTGTG